AGGGCAAGTGGAGTCTGCTGTTTGCAGCATCTTCCTTGCCCCATGGCTCCGGTGAATAGATGGTCGCTGCTTCTTGGTGAAGACGTTTGAGAGTCTCAGATATAGGGGCCCGAAGACCTAGGCCGTAGTATAGACCTGATATTCTCTTCGCATAGGCCCGAAGCCGACGTGTAATCCTAAATCCTGGCTGTCACAGAAGCCATAGAGCCGAGTTTTGTGTTCGTCGGACCAGGAAAGCTACACATGAGCCTCTTCGCCCGGGGATTTCATGAGATGTTCGGGCCTTGGGGGCCTTAGGGGCTTAATCATCGTTTCAGCTTACGACTTAAGGTTTATGGGATGTCGGATTTTCGGGTTTAGTGCAAGTGTAGCACAGGGGACCACCAAGACCGTTGCGAGCCTGACTAGCAAAAAGCCGTAGTGCGCGTTCTGGTAGCCAGAATGGCAAAAGGACTGGGCAAACGCAGCCCGGCCCACAAGCGACACTCCACCCCAGCAATCTTGCAAGACCTGCAGCAGTACCGTCAAGACTGCAGTTTGGGCAGAAGTCTCCTCTCCGACTTGCTCGCGTTGACGGGCTTGGAATTTAGCCTGTAGCTCATTATAGCTCTATATTGGAGGGTCCCCGCTGCGAAACAATGCCACAAGGGCTTTGCAGAATAGAATTACAAATGACAATGATAGTAGCACCAATACGACTCGTCATCGAAGTGGTAACTTCTAGCTTCGAATCAGCAGCTCATGCTGTTGATGATAGAAATCCTGCATTACCTTAAGGACCCTAAACTATGGGAATTATGGTATATTCCTTATTATGGGTAGTGCAGGGTTTACATCATCAACCGTATCATAGCAGAGCATGTTTTTTTGTTCAGCCCCTTCCCTGCATGACGCAGCCCCCAGCTTTTGGGCAACTGCTTCCTTTCCTTGCCATTATGTTGCGCAGCTTGGGAGCATAGGGCGTTGTTGCCACGGCACTGTTGCTCAGAGGACTTGTTTTTGCATAAAGGCCCAGAATTTGGGGAACCTGCGTCGTATCACCACAGCAGACGAGTCTTTATTCTTCGAACCTGGTCGGTTGCACAAAATGTGAACATAGATCGTCATGCTGGCAAGGGATCTTCAGCCTCAGGTACCATGCGCAGGGTGCCACTCCCCTGCTGTTCAGCGTGATCACCGAAAACCTGGAGGCATTGTTTCGGGTAAACCATTCGCTGTGTTTTCGGGGTCAGCTTGTGGAGTACGTGATCTTCTCAACTTCAGCTCTCTTTGAATGAGTACAACACTGAACCCTAAGCATTGTACCGACTTCAAGCCGCAGCTTGGCACGTGGGCTAGCAATTAAAACGCTAATCAGCGATGGCATGAGGTTTTACAACACTATATCTACACAATAATACACCCGCCAAACCCAATGTCAAATAAATTCTAACGGACTCTATAGTAGAACTCGTTGTGGTTTCAGAGTCGCGAGAGTTACACGTGGCTTCTGAAGCGGCTTCGGGAGACTGGTCCAGCGTGTTGTACCGTTCAGGGGTTTGGGGTTTCGGGTTAGCGTGCGTAGGGTTTAGGGTGTAGGGCCTAGTGAACAATTTAGTGAAATCTAGTGTTTCTGGTCTAGGAGTTTAGGCGGGCCTGAGTGCTGCAAAACCTCCCCCTCCCCCTTGCAGCGCAGCACACTGATGGCCACATTATTCGTAATTGTCCGGAAGCTATTCGTGTTGACACTCCTATTGGCTTCTCCTCAGAAGTGGGTAAGCCGCTTAGGGTTGCGATTGACACCCCATATCCTCCCAGAGAACCCAATACTTCGTATAACTATGTAAGGTATTTAGCATTCCAGTTGGCAACTTCCTTAATCAAGAGGCAGTGGGGTCTCTGGGAATTGAACCCAAAAACTCAGACAGCCTTCAAAAGGCCGCACAGCTTCTACTTGCGGCACGAGCGCAGCCGGACATTCCGAACAAAAGGCCGGAGCGAAGTTCAAGCTTGGGATCTCAGGGCCGCGAATGCACGGTTGAAGATTTAGCTTTGGGTTTAGGGGTTTAGGGTTTTGGGTTTAGGATTTAGGGTTAGGTGCTGCATGATGCTACAAACAAAAGCTTCATGTTGTGGTGTTGTGACGCTTAGGCTACTAGCTATGTTGGACACTAGTGAGGGGTCATTTGTTGAACTTGCTACATCCTCATTGCTTCCATGGCACAGGACGTCAGAAGGGTAGGTTCGACGACAGCAACTTTACGACAAGACATGTGGTAGTAGACTCGACAAATTAACGTCCCGAGGTGCAGAGCTGTTCACGCAACCAGTCTATCCAGTATAGTCAGTGTAGTGTACCCGTTTTTCAATGTTGAATATTCGTATCACTTTGCGACTCTTGGCCTTATGTCTGTCTTCGCTGCCCTTACCCTCAACCTAAGCCATATCCTTTCTGCAGGGGGAAGACGCCGCTTGACCTCGCCTCCCCCTTGCTGGCCCCTTTGCGAAAGGGTCTTGAAGTGCCGGTTTATGGTAAAGGATTGAAGGGACCAGGGTTCAGGATCTAGGAACTCCGTAAGGGATGTTCTCGGCAAGTTGAGGGCAAACTTCACGGTTATTTTCTGCAGCCCGAGACTGTTTCGTTCTCTACCCAAACTTTGTTTAGCCCTAAATCTTCAACCCGGGGCTCTACACCATAAACTAAACACCAAAGCCGCAACATGATCAGGCCCGAGGCGTCATGACGCTGTAGAGTTTTGGGTAGGTTGGGGTTTAGCATTGCATGCCAGCGCTATGGCATGCAGACGATGCTGGTAGAGTTTAGGTGTGCGGCCTGTTATTTTGCCATCCATGGCTCTGTCGACTAGAACCGTTTCGTCTGCTTGTTCGCATGTATGGTCATGTTTTCTACGTTGCTGCAGGGTATCTGCATCTTCTTTACACCATCACGCGCGCGCGCATGTGTGTGTGTGTGTCTTTGTGCGCGGGTTTGCATGTATGTCCGGCTCTATCCCTATCCCAGCTGTTCAGGCTGAATACAGCGGTACAAAGCTAAGCGAAGCTATGGGCTAACCGGTACTCCCCTAACCGTCAAACAATCAAGCACCAATCTATCCGTGGGTCTGTCTGCCTGCCTGGCTGTCTGTCTGTCTGTTTGTGTATCTTTTTCGTTTAATTGTTTATCTATTTTCTACATATGCAAATATGCAGTTACAATATATATATATCTATCTATCTATCTATCTATCTATGTATGTATGTATGTATGTATGTATGTATGTGTATGTATATGTATATGTATGTGTATGTGTATGTGTATGTATATGTATATGTATATGTATACCTTGACAACCGAAGCTATGTCGAATAACCATACATTTCAGAATTAATGGTTATACCCCTAAAACCCAGAAAAAAGGTAATATTACGTAAAGTGGCTTTTCAGGGGTTTAGGAGGGTTTTTTCAAGGGTTCTATCGGTGATTTAACACATTCTAGGTATGATTTAAATCGATGATAACAGCTGTATCCAGGGTGTCGAAAGGCTGGACAGGTGCAATCGCCCATCCCAGCTGCTGTTTTGATCGAAGATTGATGGGTGGGCTTGTGCTGGCCTTATCCAGCGGTGCGCCCCGCCCCCCGCCCGTGCAATTGCTGTGCAGTTTGATTGCTTGATTGCATCTGGCTGTGCAAGCATGCTTCTTTTCCAAGAGGTGTCCTTGCTCAAGTTCAGTTTAAAGGGTTGGGGTGATGGCAGCTGCTGTGCTGGCTGAATGTTCCCCTGCCGGACTGGAGCTAGCTCATAAAGCAGGACGCTCTTGAATGAAAGCACCACCATCACCATCGAAATTCATATCTCCAATTCACTGCCTTGAGGACTCATGCAGCTTGACGATGGCTTCTGGAATGCTTCGGCTGAAGCATTGTACCCAGATCCCGAGGACAGGAGTGCTTCAGTATAGTATAGTATTCGATGATCAAAATGCAAATAATTTGCAGGACCCTCCTTCGGCTGATGACCTCCTTATCTCTGTGATACGCAACATCAAGGAAGATGGAATCTGCAAACACTTCTTGGATTTGTTTTGCAACGGGGGAGGCTCGATTCCTGAAAAGTTTGCATGCTTTGCTGTTGTGTGGCTATCAGATGAATTCCACTTCCTCAAAAAAGTATTGCCTCCAGGAATGCTGGTGATCAAGGGCTTCCTTTCGTGCGGCGACTGAGTCTTATGCTGTGAGCTGGTCTACGCTTGGGCACGGGTGAGCAGGTATTGCAGTTGGCACGAGGTTTCGGGAGACTGTGGAAACCTGCTAGGTTGCAGACCGCAACAGGGGCGAGCCGAGAAATACTGCAACCATACTGCCCTATAACTCCGCGCTGTCGAGCTTGTTTTTTCCTCCGATGCGATACTAGCCTTCGCCTTCGCAGGTCGTCGCATGCGACTGCCACCTCCGGGTGGCCTTTTGATCTTGATCTTCCGAAGGCCAGACCTGACATGATGGTATAGATGAGCTGTTAAACTGATGCAGGAACATCTTTATCTTTGTCATCGCGGCCCTCAGTTTTGGTATCATTGATGTGAGTGGGCCCCTCACTTGCATCTGATCATCTTGCATGCAACACCTCGGCACCCCTATATTAAATCTATTTCATTGCAACTTCGCCCAAGGTTCCTGGCTGGAGACTTTTCTTTGCGAGGAGGCTGGCAGTCTGTTTCCTTGTTTCAGGTCATTTGGGACTCACCGTTCACTGTGTTTCCGAACAGGAGCCGGGATCCAGAGTTGCTTGAGCCCCGGTCTCGGTGTTTAGTGCTACAAAGATCTGGGCATGCATGAGTTGGATTGGGCAACCTCTGGATTGCAGGATTTTGGGCTGCAGGAACTCTAGTGTAGAGGCTCTTAATCATGGCTGCAGAGGCGGCGGCTGAACCCGGGCCCGAAGCGCCTGCCGAGATCGGTGGTTTCCGTGTGCGAAGGCAGCGGGCGGCTTTGTGGCCTGAGGAGGGGGCTTTGGCCAAGGCCATGGAGGAGAGTCGGGATGTGCGAGCTGCTTTCCGATCGAACCGCAATCACCTGCTAGCATGGCCTTCGCCGGAGTTAGTTGGTGTTGCTTCTCTCAAGTCTATGGCTTTGAATGTTGCAGTGCTAAGTGTTGCCCTCCAAGTCTGGGCTTCGACGAGCCCCATATGCAAGAGCATGTCGGTGGACTGGCTCAAGGCCGAGGCTTCTAGGCTTGGTTAGCTCTAGAGATCCAACAAACCCTAGTCTAGCTTACCAAAACCAATTACAATTTAAAATATCTAGATTATTGAAACCACATGTCCTGGCCGATGTGAATTCCATCATCCGAACCCCAAACTAACAAAGCCCTACACCGAAGACCCGAAATGCCTAAGTTTTAACTTTTGTATATGGCCCCCCAAAGCAGGCAAAGTGCACCGCACCGGGGATGATTCATCAATTGATCGATATAAAGAACATTCAAATATCCCGCTCAGGTGACCCAAGTCCACACTCTCTTGAACCCCGGGGTGTCCCGCAAAGCAGTTGGGATCTACGTCGATGCCTGGGGCCTGAAGCGGCTTGCAACTTTGGCTATGCGCCGATGGAGGGCACCGATAACATCTTTGCGAGTGTCTAGACTTGAGTTTTGTGTTTTATGACGGGCCGTTCAGTGCTGTTAAACAGAGTTGCCAGAATCATGTCCACTTCAGGATCGATCTCTGCATGTGCTCTTCCATATCATGACGGATGCTTGGGGAGAGTATGCTCCTGAAGCCGATTTGGGCGATTTGGTTGCTGCAAATGATGACTACTTCGATGACGGGGATGATGATGCTGGGGCTGCCGAAGCCAGTGATATCCCCGAAGGTGCAGATGAGGCTCCAGAAGCCAGTGATGTCACTGAGGTCGAAGATGCAGCGGCTCCAGAAGCCAATGATGTCGCTGAGGTCGTTGATGCAGCGGCTCCAGCTGAGGTTTCGGCTGCCTTGGATGAGCAGCTTTTCTCCATGCAGGGTCAACTGCAAGCCCTAGAGAGCCTAGGTAGCAAGTTACACGCGGGCCATGTGCAGTTTCTGCAGTATAAACCCCAAACCTCTAAACCCCAAAACCCCTCTCTCTCTCTCTCTCTCTCTCTCTCGCTCTCTCTCTGTCTCAGGTGCTCCAAGCGTCAGACCTGTCGATCGGAAGCCGAGTGTTCCTAAACCCAAAACCCCTAAACCCCTAAACCGCTAAACTCCCTAAACTCCCTAAACTCCCTCAACCCCTAAACCCCGAAACCTCTAAACACCCTAAACACCCTAAACCCCTATAAACCCTAAAGCCTATGTTCACAAAACTTAAGGACTGAACTGGCACGTCGTCGAAGCCTTCGATTAACCGGCTTCGTGGCAAGATATAGAATTTTAGAATGTGCCAGCTAGACAATGTACGCAGTGTGTATACACATGCAGCAAAGGTGGTGATCCGTCTGTTGCCGACACCTGCCCCTTTGACATCATGTCTGTTGTGCCTGCCGCCGATGCACATGGTGGCTTAATCGACATCAGTGATGATGAGATTGGGGGTAAGGAGGACCTCAAGCTTTAAGGGAACCCTAAATCCTAGAAAGACCCCTAAATCCTACAGACCCCTAAACCCAAAAGACCCCTAAACCCTGAATCATGCTATATAAGTTGTCCCACAAACCCTGCCAGGAGAATGAGTCTTCGCGGTCAGAACCTCTTCATCCTCATCCCGAGCCCGTGGAAGAAGCCCCTGCTACAATATGCAGCCACAGCCCAACTCCCGACCCAGGTGTCAGCGAGCAGAAGGCTGTGGCGGCCGTGGACGAAGCACCTGCTGAGGCTGAGGCACAGGGCGAGGACGAGGAGTTTGATGTTGCAGACTTCGAGGCGGTTAACATTTGTTTGTTGCAGGTCTATTTAATAACCGCATTAATTAATTATCTGGGACGTAAATCCTCAGTTTTGCGCTTTTATAACCTTAATTAAACCCTGCACCCTATAATAATTTATTTATTTATATTTATATTTACATAATATATATATATATATAGCTCCGATAAAAATCTGACCCCTGAGGGCAAACCGTGCCGTTTCGAGCAGATGAGCTCTGTTCAGGCTAAGCCAACTGGCCGTGGCAGAGGTAGAGGTTGCAAAGCTGGTGAGGCCAAGATTTCGGGCAATTCCGGTAGAGGTAAAGGTCGGGGCCGGGGAGGACGTGGTGGTCGTGGTCGAGGCAGCAAGGCTACGGCGACTGCTACGCCATCCCCAAAGGTGAAAGGGATGAAGAATGCGAGTGCTGGTGACTTCGAAACCCCCGAGAAGCCCCAGAAAGCCCAGCCCAAGATGGAAGCCAAGCCAGCCGAGGACTCCGTAGCCAACCTGGAATGCCCAGCAGCCACGAATCCCAAAGCATCCCCGAAATCCAAGGCAGCCACTAAGGCATCCCCGAAATCCAAGGCAGCCGCAAAGGCATCCCCGAAATCCAAGGCAGCCACAGCCATGAAGGCATCCCCGAAATCCAAGGCAGCCCCGAAATCCACGGCAGCAAAGAAGGCATCCCCGAAATCCAAGGCAGCCACGAGTCCCAAAAAGAAGGCATCCCCGAAATCCAAAGCAGCAGAGGCCAAGCCAAGCCAGGCATCCCCGAAATCCAAAGCAGCAGAGGCCAAGCCAAGCCAGATGGATCCGTCTGACAGCAAGCCCCTCAAGCGGAAGCGCCATGCCGAGGAAGACAAGAGCTTCGCCCGTCGCGCCAGGCCGAAGACGCAGCGGAGCCTGAACCACTGGTTGGCGATGCGGAATGCTTTCAGATCTGGGTTGTCTGATTATGGCAGTGCACAGCAGGACATTGTTTGTGGTATGCAGTGCTGCATGAAAGCTTCTAGACTCCAACAATAGGACACCGGAGGTCCCTGCATGGATGTTAAATACGTCATTCGATACCCCAAACCCAGACCCTCAAATAAAACCTATAACCCTAAACAATTTGAATCCCTTACTAAACCCTCTCTCTCTCTCACAGGTCCTTACTAAACCCTAAACCCCGAAACCCTAAAACCTTAATAAAGCCATGCTTGGCAGGATGACTTCTGGTCAATGACAAAGTCCAAGTTGCCCGCCGACGGCAGCTACGATGAGTGCCTGGAGGTTGCTAAGAAGGTGGCCCATGAGTTCCGGAAGCAGACATAGTGTCTGCCTGGGTTTAAAGCACATGTAACCGAATGGTTATGATCTGCTGAGTTTGCAAATTAGACTGCTACCGTGCTCACATTGCCACATCCTGAAGCGCACTTTGACTTGGCAGCTCGGGCGGCATTGTGTGGGGGAAGCTGTTGCACGCTGGGGCAAAAACTCGATCAAGGGTCGATGCAGCAGCTCAAAAAACGAGTGCACATCGATCACATTGTTCGCTGTTGCATCAAGTGCAGTCACATGCAGGCATGAGCTTGACATGTCCGATCATAATACCGCAATCATTAAGAAGTGAAATCCTGAAGTCGAGGCCTGACCATGCGACGAGGGCAGGGCTTCCTTGCCCGCCGTGGACAAGTGCCAGAAGCCTCAGATGAAGGCAGAGCTGCATGGGTTATCGGCCTGTTTGTTGCAGTCAGATCACAGGCTTTCACGGCAGTTACATAGACCGCACTCTGATCGAGCATGTTGCAAGGGCGACGAACTCCAGCGGCATGTGGCTGTTAAGGTGCATGTGCTTGCATGACGCACATGTTACACAAATAGCACAGCATGTGCAACATGCTGGGCATCCATCGACATACGTGCATGCCAGGTACGTGCTATATACAAACATAGAAAGCCCAGCCAAGCCCACTCTCGAAAGCCATGATTGATGAAGCCGGTTTTGAAACCTGTGTCCGCAAACTGATGGCACTCAACGTCCCGAAAGAGACTTGACCGCAGATATCCTGCATCCAAGGCCCATGTTGTAGCGATATGTGCAGCCACGGCCCGTCATTGCCCATCCATCCCAGGCTTTTGTCGCTGTGGTGATGATGTCCTACTGGCTGAACCCCAAACCAGAGTTCTGCAACCATTCTTTCGATGTCATCGAGCGCTACGCAGGAAAGGCAAGGGTTACTAGAATGGCCCAGGCAGCAGGATATACGGCCGAGAGTACGACCCCTCCGACAGATCTGCACTTTGCTTGAATCAGAGCAGTGGCTTTGCGACTCTAGGCTGCAATCATGCACTATCCAATTCCTGCTGTCCTGACCTATATACAAGTTACTGGGAAACATATAGAGACATATCGTGGAGTACAAATGCATTTGTGGTTCACAATAAATACTATGGTTGGCTGGAAGAATAAAATAAGGAGTGACGGATATGTTAACATCGACTTGCAAGTAAGGTCTACAGTGTTGCCATGAGAGAAGGCATTGCATGGTACATTTAGTGTTTACGGCTCTTTTCGGGGTTAAATCCCAACACCCTAAACCCTAAACCCCAATCCCCATAATATAGATTATATATGATAGATCTCGAGAAGTCGAGATATCCAGAGATACACAGCATAGAGGTAGAGAGACAGTGACACAGGGAGAATAGAGAGAGAGAGAGAGAGAGAGAGAGAGAGGGGGGGCGGGGAGCGAGTGAACGAGCAAGCGAGCGAGCGAGTACCCTGTTCCCTGCGACATGGCTTTTGTTTGTAGGTTTCGGTGATCCTATGCACACCCCAACCCCACTGTAATTCCCAGGAGCCTCAATAAACACCCTGAGCCCTAACCTTGGGGAATCCGAAGCCTTTCTCTTGCAAGGGTAAGTTATTTAGTTAACTAGATATCATATATAACCTAGTAATGTAGATCCCGCCATAGTGGGGTCGCAGGGGCATATTGTAGCACAGTGTTTTCACCCAGTTCAAGCCCAGATCTATCGGCTCCTTGTATACTGAACCAACACCAAAGAAGCTCGTAAGCCCCAAACCTGTACAGCAACAGCCTCAAGCCCGCTATTGTAAACCCCGCATGCCCAGGCTTGCTGTCCTCATGATACTCTCTGGTTCGCCTCGTGGAGCGCTTGCCATCCTCGGGATTGAGTGTTCGACTTTCGTGTCCATTAACCAAGGCACCAGTAGGAGGACCGCGCTATTTCCATGGGGAGACACCAATGCAGATTCGGTCCATGACGCCAACGAAGCGACTTCGAGGATAGCTATGATATGTTGTGGAATTCTCATGCACTATAGATACAATACCTTATTTAAACCATATCATTCAACCCCGCATCACAGGACCTCCTTACTTATACTTCTGCTGGTGGTGCTGGGCCACCACTTCATCGTGGAGAACCCTGGAAGCTCCGTTCTGGGATGGTATCCCCGGTTTGCTTGGATGTCACAAGTGCTTCAGGATCACGGGGTCCCTGTCGCTGGTCTGTACTATAACTGTATTGCTACTGTATTGTCTCTAGGTGCACAGCATATAGTCAACATGTACTGCATCTATCTAACTTTAACTAAGGTCTATCTTCAGAAGTTCTACATGAAGCACTGGGGCCACCCCAATCCAAAAAAATCCTTGACGTGGTCTACAACACCCTACATCAGAGCCTTCGACATGGGAAACGTCACAGGAGAGCAGCGACGAGCCACACTAAAAACCACCAAGGTCTACTTGGATCATGCTGGGAGGAAGAAGTTTCAAGGCAACGAGAACCTGAAAGCGACCGGGTCTCCTGGCTTCAAACTATAGAACTGTCTGCGACTTGCTGGGTTCTGCATGGTTTAATCAACAAAGCAATACTCCAGGACCTATCCGCCTGGCTTTGCCCGAAAGATCATCGAGATGATTGAGCCAACCCGTGCTCTTCCTGGATTATCGGTGCAGGCCATGTACAAGTATATTTAATCGGGATCAGCTCTAGTGCATGCACATGCAGCCCCGGCGAAGCCAGTAGTCCAACTCCCATGCACAGGCAGTCCGGATCCTAAATTCTACGTACTCTATCCTATATACCCTAAACCCTCAACCCGAAATAAGGTTAACCATCATGGTGCCCAGCTGCCGCAGGTCCCCGACTCGGACATGAAGTGGAACCAGCCTTTGCACCAGCTCTTCGCTGACTCTTCCTGGGATGAGACAGACTGGGAGGAGACGAATTTGCACGAGGTAGTCCTGTACTTGAGGGTAGCCAAGGGTGTCTGCATACCGCCTAATTTTAAGGCTCTGATCGATAAG